TGGAGGGACTATGTTTCTCAGCTGGTCTGGGAACACCTTGGGATTTCCCCAGAGGAGCTGGTCCAAGTGGCTGGAGAGAGGGAGGTCTGGGTCTCTGCTTAGACTGCTGCCCCCGAGACCTGACCCTGGATAAGAGGAAGAAAACGGACTGACGGATATCTGCTGGTTGGTTAGTGGCTGCTGAGTGGAGWTACAGGTGGTTAAACAAACAGTTAAAGTATTTGTTGGTATGGTAGTATGTTGATGGTCCATGGCTGCTCTCTGGTTATTTCTGTAAGTTTGGATGTTTACATACTTTGTTTTTTACAAAGCTGGTAGATGATAGGATGGCTGCATCAGAAGGTGACTGGTTGACCATACAGTAGGTTGGTTTTCACTGGTTTAATTAGCAGCTCATTGGTTGGTTAAACATGAGGTCAGTAAGAAGTTGTACAGATTAATGAGGTTTGTTATATATGTAGGTGGACAGGTTGCAGGTTTCTCTGTGTGTGTGTGTGTGTGTCAGTGATGGCTGGTTGTTTTGGTGATTGAGCCTTCAGAACATCTGGAAGTGTTGAAGCTCCAGGCAGGTGTTTGTGTCGGTACCTGGAAGCAGATGGGCTGATTGATGTCCTGAACTCTGAACTGTTGGAGGAAACGTTCATCTTGACTCCAGAACAGCCGGATGTCTGGGATGCTGTACAGAATCATGGCCAGTCTCTCCAGACCCAAACCAAAGGCCCAGCCCAGCTTGTTGTCTGCCCCCGCTGTAAGCAAACAAACAAACAAACAAATAAACAAAACATTAACAGGAAGCCAACAGTTCAGAGACAGACACAGAGCATTTTTTTATTTTCAGCCTTTATCTCTGAGTGAAGGAAGGAGTTCCCTTCAGAACAACCACAAACAGACAGAACCTCTTTAAAACCAGTTCTGTAGGACCAGTTCTGTAGGACCAGTTCTGTAGGAACAGTTCTGTAGGAACAGTTCTGTAGGACCAGCTTGAGGAGTCTTTAGAAACTAGAACTCTTGGATCAACAGAACATCAAACCCTCAGGAAGATTTGATATCAAACATATTGGGCCTCATGCAAGAACCGTTGGTACGAACAGATTTGTTCTTAAGTTGTGCGTACGAGTGATTTAGGAGAATTTGTG